TTTTAAATTCTATTGGATTAACGCTACATTGGGATACAATGTATGTATGTTTTCCTTGTCAATGTACTTGTACATTTCATTATGACCATCTATTTTAAGATCACCTGTGAATACAAACCCCTTGCTGGTCATTCAATATTTTTGCACAGTCGTTTGGGTATTTGTTCCTGTTTATTTGATTGAACGAACCTGGCTTGGACCAAATTGTTTACACTGCCGTAAAGCCTGCAGCACACGAGAGCTATCTGCTGAGCAAAAAGTTACTTGTGCCTGTTAGCTCAGCCGATAGCTCACCGTGTGCGCGTACATTTTACTGAGTTTTTTCCTCATGCAACCTTTTCTCACGTATCAAACATGTTTGATCGGTGAGCTATCAGCTGAGCTAACAGGCACGAGTAACTTTTGGCTCAGCAGATAGCTCTCATGTGCTGCAGGCTTAAGGCCTGGCCAGGCCTAGTCCATGCCACATATTATGATGGGCCCTAATTTTCTGGCCTAGGACAGGCCAAAGTGTATTTATACACTACAAAGTTCTAGACCGAAACCATGCATAGGTCATGCTTAGGCTTGTGGTGTAAACAAGGCTGTAGGTTGCTAAAAGTAGTTGAGAACCAATCTCGTACCCATAGCCCTGGGTGCGGGTTGGTTGAGAACAATAGAGATTAAGTGTTTAGCAAGCTAAATTTTAAAGTGGAACTGTCATTAAAATTTTAATCGTTTCAAACGAAAGAACTCCTAAAATTGTAAAGTAACTTTTTTGGAAAAAAATTGGTTCCCATGGTTTATTCTTGAGATATTTCATTTTGTTTGAAACCATGTGACTTCGTTTACTCAATTACACATTGTCCAGCGGACACAAAGTCAGCCAAGCGGGACAGACGTGTCTAGACTCGCTCCTCAGCTAACTGTATATTAAGCAATTATTGGATGAGGCTGAGCATGATATCAAGAATTATTCAGACCGAGGTCAATGTTATTTGCCGAAGCGAAGCTGAGGCGGATAACATAGGCCGAGGTCTGAATAATTCTTGATATCATGCGAAAGCAGAATCCAATAATTGTTTTATTATACATTTAAAGACATGAGAAACGTATAAAACGATTCCTGTTCATGAGGTAGGAAAAGTACAATTTGAATATCAAACACCTTGCACAAAGTCAAAGGTCAGCTAAATATTATATTTCTACTTCTATTTACCCCTTTGTGGCTTTTTTCGTGCTTTCACTATCCTTATCTGCCAATAATTTGGAGAGTTCACTTTCATTCAGCGAAGCAAATCTGTTGTCGGCCATTGTTTGTTTTTTTCCCGCGCTTATAGGTTCAAGCTTTTGGCCGCGCAAGGGTTTGGGCACGAGAGAGTCCAATATTTTTTTTTTGGATGCAAGTTCGATCCAAAAAAACAATTATTGGACGCTGATGACGTCATCGGCGGAAAATACGTAATAAATGCCAAATACTGAAAATTAGCCGGTGCTTTCTGACCAATTAGAAACGAGAATACATATTAAATGTATAATAATTCATGTTAAATATGAGCGATAATCCAACAGTGTCGATGATTAATAAAATGAAAGTGCCAGAGCTTCAAGCTGAACTAACGAAAAGGCACCTTGATACGAAAGGTACAAAACAAGTCTTGGTCAATCGACTTCTGTCGAGTTTGGAAATTGTAGAGCCTGAAGCGGCGAACGACAGCAACGATGATGAACAACAAAATAAAGCCGAAGGAAATATGGAATTGGCCCAAGACAAAGGACAAGACGACTGTAAGGACGATGAACAAGACCATAGCAAAGACGAAAACCAATCTTCGCTGCATGAACTATACCCAAATTATAAACACCCTTATTCCTTCGAGACTGCCATTGAAGACATTAGACTGCAACTAAATACTTTACAATGCAAATTCGAAGACTACAAAACTGAAATGTCTAATGATGCATCAGGAACAGGTAGTCTTCGCGATGAAAACAAGCGTTTGAGATGTGACTGAGAGAATGAATAATCTTGGACTCATCCTGGCCGACCTCAATACAAAATTAAAGATCGCTGAAGACGAAAAGGCTAGCCTTTTAACTGCTATCCGATTAATACAGTCCGATGGCGATGTCAAGTTAAACAACAACAATAACATCATGACAACAAAGCACCTACCACAGAATACCTACAAAGAAGTCGCTTCAAGACCAAAGAGTAGAAATATTAATGGAAATTCATCATCGAAACAAGATAATCTTAAAACTACCGCCGCAGGCCCTAATCTGGTAAACGTTCTGGGTTCAAACTGTTATTCTCCATTAGAAGTTGAGACGGCAGACGAGTCAGAGCAAGAAATCATAAGTGCCGACGAGGCAAGACCAACAAGCCATGGCCGAAAGCACGACTCAAAGACACAAAAGTCTAAGAAAACAACTAGCGATCCCCTCAACAAAGTCGACTGCAATTCCAGCAATGTATCAACAATCCACGACCTTGATTCCGGTACAATCCTTGGAAGATTCAATGTTAAAGCGGCTAGACGTAAACAGAGCACGACGCTCTATAGACAGCAATAAAAGGGTGATTCGCACGTTTTCTGGAGCAACTATTGAAGATATGAAACATTATGTTGAACCTACGTTAAAGAGAAGTCCTAAAGCAATCATTCTCCACGCTGGAACGAATAACATCCCAAGGGATCGACCCGAAGAAATAGTAAGTAAACTAAATGATCTTGGACAACATATAGAGCAAAATTCAAAGTGTCGAGTTATTATATCAAGTCTGATCACTCGAAGTGACGATAACCTTAATGCGACAATTAGTACTACAAATAACTTGTTGACTAACTTATGTTTAAAAAATAACTGGTGGTTTATTAAACATATCAACATTAGTAAAAGTCACCTGAATGCTTCTGGGCTTCATTTAAATGCTAGAGGTACGTCCACCCTAGCTAGAAATTTAATTGACTGTATAAAACATTGACAATTAAAAGTAAATTTAGACATAGAAGCAAATCTAGACGTCTCAAATCATGAATCTATTTCATCATCTATTTATGAACAGCACTCGTATCCGAAACTAAAGGGCTTTAAAATAGGCCATCTTAACATAGCTAGCTTGCCAAAACACTTAGACGAACTAACTATAGTTATCAATGAACTATCTTTTGATATAATTACAATTAACGAAACAAGGCTAGATGAAAGTTTCAATGACCGAGATGTCAGGATTAGTGGATATGACATAACACGCCGTGATAGAAATAGGCACGGCGGAGGAGTTGCCATTTACATCAGAAATAATATTCCTTATATCCAGCGACACGATTTACTCGTCCAAGACTTACAGACAATTTGTGTTGAGATTAAAAAACCGAAAAGTAAACCTTTTCTGATATCTACATGGTATCGACCACCAAACTCCCCTATTGAACTCCTTGAAAAATTTGAAAATATTCTGCATTTAATGGAGAATGAAAACAAAGACTTAGTTATCACCGGCGACTTTAACTGTGATTTACTTTCAACAAACAAAGACGCACGTACTAAAAAACTTACAGACCTCTTAGACATATATCAATTACAGCAACATATACAGATACCAACAAGAACTACCTTAAATAGCAAAACATTAATAGATTTGATGATCACTAAAGTAGAAGACACAAAAACTATTGATAGTGGGGTGATAGACTTGGGGATTAGTGATCACAACCTTGTATACATTTGCCGTAAAGTGAGTATCCCTAAACAGCCTCCAAAAATAGTCGAGACAAGGCAATTCAAAAATTTTAACACGGCAGCATTCCAGCATGATTTACAGGAAACATTTAAAACGTGCAGCTTTACTGCTGAACCAAACACTGCATGGAATGAATGGAAAACAATTTTTCTAGACGTTGCCAATACTCATGCACCTTTTAAAACTCGCAGAGTTAAAAGTGCTCATGCACCATGGCTAACAGATCAAATTAAATCTCTTTCCTATCAAAGAGATCATCTCAAAAAGATAGCCGTCAGATTAAACTCTGAATACTACCATAAGGCTTATAAAAAATGCCAAAATCAAGTTATGAAACTCATTAAGAAATGCAAAACTGAATATTTTAATGCCAAGCTGAAAGATTGCAAAAATAGTAAAGAGTGTTGGCAAACTATTAATAAACTTTCAAATAAACATTCCAAATCCACTACGGTTAATAAAGTGGAGGTCAATGGGATTGACATAACCGGTGATGTAAATATAGCCCAGGAATTTAATGACTATTTTTGTTCAGTTGGGCCTACACTAGCTAGTAACATCCCCATCACAAATACTGATCCTTTGAGTTATGTCACTCCAGTGTCAACTTCATTTGAATTTCATGCCATAACCTATGATGAGCTAATAAAAGTGGTTAAGAAACTCGAAACTAACAAGTCACCAGGTCTTGATAACATATCTACAAGATTGGTCAAGGAAGCTGGCGACAGCATGGTACCATCCCTAAATCATCTATTCAACCTATCGTTAAGTACTGGAATTTTTCCAGAAGATTGGAAAGTCGCCAAGGTTACCCCTATCTATAAATCAGGTGAAAAATCAGACTGTGGAAACTATCGACCTATTTCAGTAATTTCAACAATTGCAAAGATTTTCGAGAAAATTGTCTATACACAAATACTTGATTATTTAGACGAAAACTGTATCATATGACCAAACCAGTCAGGGTTTCGATCACTCCATTCAACAGAAACTGCACTACTGAGCTTAACAAATGAATGGTTAATAAACATGGACCAAGGTCTCATTAATGGTGTACTATTCTTAGACCTAAAAAAAGCATTCGATACGGTGGACCACAATATTTTTTTATCTAAATTGAAAGCTTATCGAATAAAGGGTACAGCACACGAATGGTTTCAGTCATATTTAAGGAAGAGGCAGCAAATATGTAAAATTAACAAAAAAATGTCGGATATAAGAACAATTACCTGCGGAGTTCCTCAAGGGACAAATCTAGGCCCGTTGCTATTTCTCCTTTGTATAAATGATCTGCCAAATTGCCTTGTAACAACAAGCGCCACAATGTTTGCGGATGATACAAGCCTATCATGTAACAGACTATCATCCGCAGATATAGAGAGTAAACTGAATCACGATTTAGAAATAATTCACACATGGTTAACCGCAAACAAGCTGACTTTAAACTGTAAAAAAGCTGAATACATGATTATTGGCTCACGACAAAAATTAAATTCTATTGCACAAATACGACAAACATATCAATCACAGGCGAGCAAATAAGACAAGTTGAAAGCACAAAATCCTTAGGCATAATTATAGATGAACAATTAAAATGGGAAGAACATAACAGTAAACAATGTAAAACAATTTCAGCACGTATCGGAATGTTAAGAAGAGCTAGAGATTTTGTTACACAAGATGTTTTAATTACAATGTATAATTCACTTGTATTTCCTCACTTTACGTACTGCTCAACTGTGTGGCATGGCTTTCGCGCTGATCACATAAATAAATTATATAAGTTACAGAAAAGGGCTGCTCATGTAATAACAGGATCCAGTTACGACATACGATCAACGAACATTTTTGAAACCTTAAACTGGAGACCTATAACAGACAACTTAGACAAGCGCGACCTTGTAATGATATTTAAGGCCCTTAAAGGTCTAGTGCCCGACTACCTAATGCAGACAATTAACTTGAACGAAAACGGCAACTATCAATTACGTAGCAACAATAGAAATATTTGCCTACCTAAGCCAAAGACAAATTTTCTAAAAAAATAGCTTTCCCTATCGAGGAGCTATAAGTTGGAATAACCTACCTAATCATGTCAATCATATTATTGATCAAGCATTAATATAGAAGATGTCTCTGTCAACTCCTTTAAGAATGTCATAAAACGTATGTCCTAATCCATTGGTCCTAATCTATAGTGTAATTAATTGCATCCATGTAAATAGTTTATGTAAGTGGCCTGTTTTTCTCGCTTTTAGATTTCCTTTTTTCTTTTTTTTTTCTCCCCAATTATGTAAATATTTTAATGAACTCACGTCCCTTTGAAAAACAGATGTACTTCTGAAAGGCTACCGTGATTAAATAATAATAATGGGATATCAGTAAATGTTGTGTATCTTTGCTATTTTTGACGGATTTGTTTAAAAAAACAGTATGCTTAATGATGTAGGTTAAATATTAACAAATGTGCCACATCTTTGGAAAGATTTTGATAAAAGTAGCAAAGATACACAACAGTTACTGATATCTCATTATATTTTAGTAAATGACGTCACATGGTTACAAACAAAATGAAATATCGCAAGAACTAAGCATGGGATAAAAATTATAAAAATTTTAATGACAGTACCACTTTAATTGACCATTGATGGCCGATTGTGCGGAGGCCGGATAGCACTATTCACTGGATAGTCAAATTTTTAACCACCATAAAATTGCTTTGAAATGGCTATAAAACTACTGATTTGAAGCCACAAGTAAAGAAAGAAGGAATTAACTTATAAATACTAAGATTTAATCTGGATTATACTAAAAATGGCCGTATTTGGAAAGATTAAAAAAATCACTATCCGGTGGATAGCGCTATCCAGTTTTCATACAACCGGCCCCAGTATTCCAGTGACCGCAGAGTGAATTTCGCTAATTCAAAATATCTTCTAATGGTTTGGATACCATGCAGTTTATATTTACAATACATGCATTTCCTGTACAGTAGATACTCACCCCATATGGCGATCTGAAATCCAAAACATTCTTTCCACATACAGTATAGCACAAATAAAATAATTTTCCTTTTTAGAAATAATTATCTTGATCAACGCCAAGCAAAATTGTCAAAGGTTATTAAAGAAAAGTGCCGTGAAACAACACCAGTCATTTTGTTGCTGGACAATGTAAATATTTATCATGCCATCTAAGACTTTTCAAATCTTTGGGGCCAAAGATGTGGAATTTTACCGTAAGAGGAGCAATCATCCCTGACATAAGCGAAATTGAAGAGCTAATGACGTGTAAGGAAACTGCCACAATGCCACAAACGGATATTTCACAAGTGGAAGCTGAAGATCTCTTTTTAGGTAATTACTTCACAATAGTACATACATGTAAAGGCAGCTATTTGTAAACAATGACTATAATTGTAATAAGAAAAATATTGGTGGGTTGTCAATGCACATGCTACTCTACATATTGGAGTTGTTTAATTTATCTGTTCTCGGTCACACAAATTCATGGTCAATCTGTTTTTGTGGGGTTTTTTAAGATTCCATGCCCGAACATAAAAAATTATGGGATGACTGGCTTGATGGTTACTATTTGGAGCTTCTTGATGGTAGTTTGAATGGTATACCGAAACCTCCAAAGCCTTTTCTGGAAATGAGTGAGGTAGACTTGAATTCGTGGCTTTCCAAAGTTGACTTTGGTAAACACAAAAGAGAAAGCGTTAAAAAGTTCAAGATCAGTCTTCCTTCGAAGCAAGAACATTGCTTAAATAATCAAAGTAAAAAGACGGATGTTGTTAACCTTAGTTGTTGTTGGAGGACAATTCAACCCTTACAGGTACTGCTGCCATTCTTGAACAGTTTGGTAAAGAATTTTCCATTCCTTGTCCTGATCATTATGAAATTCCCTTTAATAAATTGGAAAAGAAATATGATCTAAAGTCTGCCCGATTGCAGTATGAATTCATGAGGTCAGTTGATGTGCATAACACCGAAATGCAAGAAATGGAGAAACAACTACGATTGTATGAAAAACAGATAGATGCATCTACGTATGATGTTAATGACACTGAATCTGATACCGATTCTGGTGATGATGATGGAACAAGATCTTCAGGATCTGTGACTAAGAAGACTGTTCAGCAACCAAAAGATGCAAGGTTCAAAGCTTTGTATGAGAGAATTTCAATCATGGCTCAAGACTCCAGTCACTGAATCAATGATGATGTCTCTATAGATGCCCAATCAATAATCAGTTGGCAAATGTTCATCAGCTTACCAAGAATCCTAATTCAATCGTTTAATAACGGCAAAGTACCTATTATTATTAGTTATAGATGTTATATTTTTTTGTTAAGGTCACACCTCAGTTCAAATGTGCCAACGATTGATGGGAAACCTTGATGTGGTTGGATCTGTAAGACGTTCATTTACAGAACCTTTCAACTATCACCAAACAACGAAGCACAAAGATGATAGATAGATAGATTATTTAATAAGTTACCTTGCAGTTTTACACTGAATTGCGCAACTTTTACAAAAAATTTACAACTTAACTACTTTACTAACTAAAATTTCTTTAAGAGTCAAAGTCTTATTTTAAAAGTTATAAAATCTATATTGTTAGAGATTTTAATAATAATCTACACTAATCATAAAGTGTGTTGGTACTACCACGCATAATAAATGAGTCCGAGAATCTTTTTGTTCTTACTAGTGGTAGTGAAAATTTCCTATTTTTCCTAAGATTGTATTTAGGATTTTTGTTAGCACTTGGAATCAGGTGATGGATTTTATTTTTTGGCTTCTCGGATATGGACTGGAACTGTTTCTTTGTAATTGTGCTGTGGTGGTCTTTAATAGCAGGTATTTCTGCCAATACCAAAGCATCAGAATAAGGTATTCCTGGGAAAATGCACGCTAAAGTTCTCTTTTGGACCTTTTCCAGGTCGTCATGTACGTAACTTGGTAGAGAGCTATGGTATACTGGGCATGCATAGTCCAAATAAGATCTAACGCATGCACAATAATATGTAACCAAATCGTTTGATGGTATTTGCGTACGCTTGAGTTGTTTTAAAAAATACGGCTTCCGAGAACTCTTCTTCACTAGTTCCTCAATATGATCGTTCCATGTCAGTTTATCGTTAACCATTAACCCGAGTAACTTTGCTTTGGTTATCCTCAAAATGGGATTTTCGTCTATAATACTAGGTGAGAATTGTGGAGGATGGGGTCGGCTAAAACTTATGATCAGTTCCTTTGTCTTTTCACTGTTTAGTTGCATCAAGTTTTCCTTTGACCATTCATTAACTTGGTCCACTGCCTGTTGTACATGGCTGTGTTGCCCCTTTGATATGGTTTCCGATACTGTAGTGTCATCGACATATTTCCACATGTTGAAAATTTCAGAAACTGACAAGTCGTCAATCATTTTTAGGAATAACCAGGGTCCAAGTTTGGTGCCCTGGGGAACACCAGAGGGAATCTTGCCCCAGTCTGATAGGCAGTCCTTACTAAGCTTCACTCGTTGTAATCTATCTGAGAGGAAGTCGATTATCCAATTTTTGATGCTGTTTGGTATACCAATTTATTTCAATTTGGTGATTAGGGTGCCATGATCTATGAGATCAAACGCTTTACGGTAGTCGAACAAAATGAAAATGTACTGCAGATCCATTACCGTCTGTAGCTTCGAGCCAGTTATGCACCATACCTATAAGAGCTAACGTAGTGGAAGAACCAGAAACGGTGCCAAATTGATTATGATCTACTTTCTTCTCTAAAGCTGGTCTAATATAGTCTGAAACTACAAAGTCTCCTGCAATTTTAGAAACTACAGAAGTCAGAGAGATAGGTCGTAGCTCTTTCTTTGGGTCAGTAACTTGCTTTACTTTGGGGAGAGGTGTAATATCTGCCAGTTTCCAAGTTTTTGGTAAGACAAATCCTAAGAACAGCATTCAAATACTAATACCACCAAGTTAAGTGCAAGAAACCAGATCATTGAAGTCTACCTTAGATTGCCTTTTTAGACTACTTCATACTTTATACCTACACCTGCATGCTGATTAGACTCGTAACTCATTCACTAGGTATATATGTTTATATCATAGGACTGGTTTTATATTCACAGAATGGTGTGTTAATAAAAAACTAACTTAAACTAATTATAAACTGAATATACAGTGAGGTTATAGAGTATTCCTCGCCTGATTTTTTAAGCCAATGTTTAGAAATATTATGCCTTAATACCTCAATAAAATATACCTTA